ATAAAATGATTTAGTAAGAGATTATTGTGCATATAAGCACAGTTTGTGAACTGGGCTTTCATATTTAAAACTGATATGAAGCTCCAGAGCATGACATTACAGGGTGGCTTATAAAGTGAAAATGAGGCAGTTGTTTAAGAGGGTGTCTAGATGGCAGAAGATTGGTTAAAAGTGATTCCCTTATATCATTTTAAGAAGATAACTTAGATTTATTTTATGATTTTTATATACACTTACAAGAAATAGCCTAAGTTAAGTTTAGCTTATGTTCATGAGGTAAGCTATATTTAGTTTTTCTTACATGGCTTAAATGGTTTGTCTGCTCAAGAAATTCTCAAGTCTGGTCTCCATTTTGAATTTTGTTTAAATGAATCAAAGTCTGAAAAATGAATAGAAGACCTGAAAATTGCAACCAGTATTGAGTTGGAGATGGGATTTAAATAAGATCTTAGCACTGGGAGGCTTATAGCAAACTAGAGGCCAGGTGCACAGATTCGTACACCAGTGGGGTCCCTTGGCCTGGCCTGCGGGGATGAGTGGATCTCTGAGCTGCCATAGCCTTGCCTTACCTGCCAGCTCATCAGGATCCAGCCTACTGTCTGCATTGATCCCACACAGCACGAAGTAGTGCACAAAGCAGCATGTGGCCAGGGAGGAGCCCGAGCCCAGGCCAGGCGCTGTGTCACTCCCACTCATCCTGGCCCCGCTGCACCTCCTGCTGCCGCTCAGTAGGCACGCTGCTGCTCTGCTGTGGTCTCTGCGCTCCTGTCCTAGGGCGTTACCGGTGCACCCATGACTGTTCAGCTGTGCTTGTCATCACAGCCTCGCTCCTTGCATGGCACCAGAGAAGTGGCCATGGGCTTGTGCCCAGTCAGTCTGGATGCTGTTCCTGATCCCAGTCCTGGTCCAGATGAAGAGGGCTATGCAGGGGGAGTGTCCGCGGGAGAGGCTCCCACTACTGCAGCGACACTCGCCAGCCATGAGCCTGGCTCTAGGGCCCATTGGTCAGTTGAGTGGTACTCCCGCTGTGAGAGAGCACTGACCACCCAGGGCAAGCTCCTGTGTTGAGCGTCTGCCCCCGGGTGGTCAGTGTGCATCATAGCTACTGGTTGCCCAGATCCCTGGTTTTTTACCTTTCCAGGGGAGCTCTGCCCTTCCCGGCTGCAAACCGTCCCACCAGCTGAGTAAGTTCGCCAATTCGGGGTGGGGGTTATTAGTTTCAGCTGCTTACTCCGTTTGCTCCGGGACAAGACCTGGGACGCGTCTGCCTATATCGCCGCCATCTTCCAGACCTTCCTCAAAGCCTGAATTCTTACATATGTAATATCATCTTTTCAAATATTTTTTTACGTCTGGTATTTTCTCTCATTGCTTGTTTAACTGACAAACTCCTCATTTAGCAAAGGTTAGATGAACAATACTCCTAATGAATCCTTCCCTTGTTGCCTTGGGACCTAGTTGCATCAATTCCCCTATGCCACCCTCACTTTATGAACAGCTACATTATTATATATGTTATTATATTTTATGTTAATAGAATATTTAATGTACCATGCTTTTTGTTTTTACTCTTTTACATATATTGTAATACTAGAGGCCCGGTGCACAAAAATTTGTGCATACGGGGGAGGGGGGAAGGGGGTCCCTCAGCCCATCCTGTGCCCTCTCGCAGTCTGGTACCCCTCAGGAGATAATGACCTGCTGGCTTAGGCCTGCTCCCGGGTGGCAGAGGGCAGGCCCAATCCCTAGGTGCAGCCCCTGGTCGGGCTCAGAGCAGGGCCGATTGGGGAGTTGGGGTGCCACCCCCTGTCATGCACAGAGCAGGGTGGATCGGGAGGTTGCGATGCCACCCTCAGTCACGCTCAGGGTAGGGCCGATTGGG